TGGTTGCTTCCTTCATGTGCACCGACTGGGATGGGGGATGAAACCTGCAACCCAAGTACATGCCCTTGATCAGGAATCGAACCCACTACCTCTCAGTATGTGGGCCAACACTCTAACCACTAAGCCACACTGGCCAGGGCAAAACCCCAACTCCTAAATATTCTTTTCTTCTCTTACATAAATTCTTCATCAGTTCATTCTGAAAACCCAAATTATTTGACTTTTAGATGCTGCTGGAAAGATCTTTTGTTTGACTTCTTTCTCCTGCTAAATGATGCCCTTGTCTGAGCCATGACTTGACACTGGGACCACCATCAAACTCTTCCCAAGACTTCCTCCACTAAAATGACAGGTGACTGGGGATCCTGCCTATGCTGGTATTCACGGACCTGCCTCTGTTGCAGCTTCCAGCTTCCACCATTCATCAAATTTCTGTTCCTCTCTTCTCCTCTCCTCTAACCTTTGGGGGACAAAAGGGATAGAAGGGGAAAAGATAGTTTGTGATACCACTTGTTGGCATTGTGTGCTGTCCTTTGGTTGTTCACTAAGACCCAGGACAGATTCCCTTCCCCCCAACACTTCCCTACGTGCAGAGACAGCTGCTCCCTCTCCACCAGGGGGTATGTCTCAAATAAGACAAAGTTCCCTAAACCCAGCTCAATGCCTATTACTGCGACCTAGGAACATACCCTGCATGAAACACCTGATTATTTTTTTGTTTTATTTTTATTTTTCAATAATAGTTGACACACTGTATTATATCAGTTTCAGGTGTACAACATAGTGACTAGGCATTTATATATCTTAAAGTGATGACCCCCAAAACCTAGTACCCATCTAGCACCACACATGGTTATTAGAATATTACTGACTCTGTTTCTGTGCTGTACCTTACATCCCCACGACTATTCTGTAACTGCCAATTTGTCCTCCCAATCCCGTCACCTTTTCCACCCAGCCCCCAAGCCCCCTCCCCTCTGGCAACCATCAGTTTGTTCTCTGTATCAATGAGCTCAATGAAACACCTGTGTTTATCTCTGGGCCCAGTAAATTTCCCATATGCTATGTGCTGCTCCCTAGACAGGGCATTTCTTCCGCAGGGTGACAGAGGAGGGCCACGGCTCTGCTGCACAACACAAATTCCCTCACTCCACCTGGCACTTAACTAAGAACAACTTCCCAGCCCCCAAACAAAAATAACATCATTTCTGCAGCGTCCCTCGATTGCAGTGCACAAACCAAAAAGAATGTCATGGGCCAAATTGTTACCCCCTCTAAACTCTAGTACCTCAGGTAAGTTAAAATGAGGCCATTAGGGTGGGTCCTAATCCAACCTGACTGGGGTCTCTGTAAGAGGAGATTGGGACACACAGAGACAACAGGGACACCCATGCCCAGAGGGAAGACCATGTGGGGATACAGAAAGACGGTGGCCATCTTTAAGCCAGATAGAGGCTTCAGAAAAAACCCAACCCTGCCAACACTTTGATCTTGAACTTCAAGCCTCCAGAATTGTGAGAAAATAAAATTCTGTTTAAGCCACCAGTCTGTGGCATTTCATAGCAGCCCTAGCAAACTAATACAGTACCTTGGAATCATAGTGCCTGTTTGGCTTCTGAGATAAAACCAGATATGCTGAAATCTGTATTATTAGTTAACTCTACTACTCATCATGGTTAATAATATAATACTTGCCAACAGTCACAGAAGTCTGTTTTTATTTTAAACACCACAACAGTGCACCAAGCTGAATGCTACCCTATTTCCCCCACTGCTACAGGAATGTTCAAAGGTGGAAAGAGAAACCGAGCTATAACACTTTCATATACTTGGAGAGTCTAAGTAGTGTGTACCAGACATTTACCTAAAAAGAGTGTTTACAAACTGAGTTTTTGTAACCCAGAAAATGCCAATAGACATTTTCTAGTAGTCATAGCATTCATCCCAGAAGTTTGCAATATGATATATATACTTATTAGTCATGAGCCCTGGGCAGCATGGCTCAGCAGTTCACACTGAAGGGTCTCGAGTTTGATTCCCTGTCAAGGGCACGTACCTGGGTTGCAGGTTTGGTCCCTGCCCCCGTCAGTGCGTGCAGAGGCAACCAATTGATGTGTCTCTCTCACATCGATGTTTCTCTCACTCCCCCTTCCACTCTCTGAAAAGCAATGGAAAAATATCCTCGGGTGAGGATTTTAAAAAAAAAAAAAAAAGAAGAAGAACGATGGCTTAAAATATATCTAACTGGCCCAAAACATGCACTTAACCCATCATTCACATTCTTGGATAAGAATTAAAATCAGCTAAGAGTCTGAACTTAGTTTCATACACCAAAAGGTCTGAAACTTAAATGACAATTTTTATCATTCTCACAGTGATAGAAACAGAAATGTATATAAATATGTAAACATATACATATGTTTATATACACACATATAGTTTTTCTTTGACATGGAGGATATTTTCCTCCAACTGTTAATTTTTCAACAAGAGAGAAAAACAAAACAAAACACAACAGGGCACAAAAATTTTTTAAGTGACTTATTTCAAGCAACTAATGATTCGTTCATTTGTTTAACCATCCCTTGGGACAATCTGTAATCTACTCTGATAAGAAATGTGTAGAAAACAGACCTAACTTTTTGTTGTTGTTCAATTATTAGGAGGATGCACAATGTTTGAGCTCACACAAGTATCCCGTAGGGAAATGCTCTGCGTGCCATTAGCACTCGGCTTAATGAGGAAAAGCGCAGAACTCCTTTAGTTCAGTGCCAGAATTGTTTTATCTTCAAGTCAAAAGAACAACTATTTGGAGTAACACCAAAACAAGCATTTAACAATTACAAGCAGCAAGCTATTCATAAGCATCATATTGTTAATGCTACTCTAAGTATAAATAACCGTATTTTATCAAATAAAATATCTGTCAGCCGATTTTTAAGTCCCAGATACCTACCTCCTTCATTTAACTGATTTATTCCTTAAAGAAAAAAAAAATACTTACTGCTTCAATTTAAAGAACCTTTTTTTACTTCAAAGACTTGTGAAAAAGTGAGATATAGGAAATCTTTACATTTTTAACCCATGAGCAGCTAATCTTCAGAGAAAAGTTACATATCATAAACACAGGCCTAAAACAAAAACATGGTGTTTATAAGACTCCTCAAAGATCCATGAAGTGGGACAATCTGAAGGAAGACTGCTTGGCTTTACTAATGCCCTAGCTGAACTCTGCCCAAGACAGCAGTGCTTCCTTCCTGGTGTAAGGCTGCCACCGAGAGAATTGCTACTGATGTAACCTCCTGATACTAAGAACTGCTCTGGAAAAGGAGCTAAGATCTCATTAATCAATAGTGACTTTTCTTTGTTAAAAAAAAAAAAAAAAAAGAGTTATAAATTACAAACAGTAAAGTGTATAAACCTTAGATGGTTAACTCAATGAACTTTTACACCTACGTAATTCCACCCACATAAATACATAAAACATTTCTATCACTCCAGAAAGTTCCCTCATGCTTCTAGTCAGTAATCTCTGCCCCAACCTTCAACCAGAAGCAACCACTATCCTGCCTTTTACCTCCCTAGATTAACTTTGCCTCTTTCCGAAAGTCACACATGTGGGATAATTAGCAGATACTCCGTATGTCTGCTAATTTTGCCCAACAAAACATACGTGAGATTCATATTCACCGCTGCATATGTTTATTATTTTTTTATTGCTATGTAGTATTACCTGGTAAAACTACACTACAATTTATCCACCTCCTGCTGAAGGCATCTGGGTCATTTTCCAGTTTTAGGATATTCTGACTATAGCTGTTATGAGCTTTCTCACATATCTTTTGGTAACACAAGCCTCACATCTCTTGGGTACATACCGAGAAGTGATCATAAAGTAGGCACATATTTTTAGCTAGATAATGCCAATTTTTTAAAGTAGTATTTATTTGGTCATGCTGGTGAGTGAATGGTATCTCACGTGAGTTACTCTGCTGAATAATCTTTTCATATGCTTATTAAAATATTCTACTTTTTTGAAGCCTCTGTTCAAGTTTTTTGTCCATTTTTAAACTGTCTTCTTTTTGATTTGCAGGAATTCTTCATATATTCTGTAGGAGTCCTTTATTCAACATATGCATTTAACCTCTTCTCTCAGACTTCAGCCTGCCTTTTCACTTTCTTAATGATCTTTTGATAAACAGCACTTCTTCATTTTAATGAAACTCAATTGGTCATATTTTTTTTTTAGAAGTTAATGCTTATTTGTGTTATTTTAAAAAATCTTTCCTGCCCTATCCGGTTTGGCTCAATGGTTAGAGAGTCAGCCTGTGACCGAAGGGTCCTGGGTTCAATTCCAGCGAAGGGTACATACCTCGGTTGTCGGCTCAATCCCCGGCACCAGTAGGGGTGCATGCAGGAGGCAACCAATCAATGTGTCTCTCTCACATAGATGTTTCTCTCTCTCTCTCTCTCCCTTCCACTCTCTCAGAAAAGCAATGGAAAAAATATCCTCTGGTGAGGATTAAAAAATAATAAAAATTAAAATTAAATAAATACATTTTTCCTACCACAAGTTCATGAAGCTATCTTCATGTTTTCCTCTGGAGGCTTATTTAAGCTTTGCTTTTACCCATCTTCCCACCAATGCCTCTGATCATCTCCTTTATGAACCTACTAAAGCCGAAACTTAGAGCCACCACTGCTGGGAGATCAGATATACCATCTGAATTCACCCTACACACTCAAAAATAAAGTAACTGAGAAAACAGTTGGTAGCAAACAGACTTTATTAAAATCTATAATGACTGAAACTGCATGGTTAGAAAAATAAAGCCATTTAAATGTTTTGGATTACCTTTACATTACTATTCAGCAGTCCAATTTTTAAAAGCTGATAATATTTCACCAAGTATCAATTAAAACTCATGCAACTCACACATAAATCATGTAACACACTATTTTAAAAAGGAGTGTTAGCACTGAAGAGAACCTAGACTTACCTGTCGTAATGGCTCTATGGAACTGATGCATGTCTTCTCCTGAGAGCTCCTGGGCCACCTGCAATATTTTTTGTCTGACACCATCCAATTTAATTTCTGATTCAGTTAATATTTCTTCCATATCAGGAGCACTGTAATCAAGATATTGGGGACTTTTAAAACATCAGCCAGATGCTTTATAGTGAAAAACTGAAATAATCTAATTATCAATTAATATAAGCCTAAGTAAGTATTGTATGTATTTGGCTACTAACCCAGAACTACAACAGATTTTATTAAAACTATGTAAACACATGGAAAATGCTATAACATACTACTGAGTGAAAAAAGAAGTATACAAAGCTGTATGTACGTTATAATCATAACTCTAAGAAAAATTATGTTCATAAAAATATGACATCTAGAGATGTCTGCTTTTATTTATTTATTTGTTTTTAAATATATTTTTATTGATTTCAGAGAGAGGAAAGGAGAGGGAGAGAGAGAGATAGAAACATCAATGATGAGAGAGTCATCGATCGGCCGCCCCCTGCACGCCCTGATGCTCAACCGCTGAGCCATGCTCGGCTGGGCAGGAGATGTCTGCTTTTAGGATGGAGTAACATGGGCAGACATTATCCTCCCACCATAAACAACTAAAAAGAAAAAATACAAACAAAACAACAGTTTTCTGACACTGGACAATAGGCAGTGATCCCTGAGGGAGTTGTGAGAAAAAGGACACGTGTCCTATGGATTGTCTTGTCTTACTGTTTGGAAACTTTCCAAGTGACAGTTCAGGAAAGAGAAATCTACATGGAGCCTAAGAGTCTCCCTAAGAAAGAAAGTATTTTGAACTGAGTAAAAATGAAAAACAACTTATCAAAATCCATGGAATGCAGCTAATGCGTACTTAGAGGCTTAAAAGGGAAATTTATAGCACTAAATGTCTATATTGGAAAACAAGTTCCTTCTTTTTGTTTTTTAATCCTTGCCCAGGGATATTTTTTCCATTGCCTTTTGGGGG